CCCCCTAAAGTGCCATAGTTTTTGCCTCCTGCAGTTCTGCCAAATCTATTTCACTTGCCAGGACCTGAGCCCTCCCCTTATCAATTATCAACTCTCTGCCCCCTTACTTCTGGTCAGTGAACAAGTAGTCCCCTTCTACTGGTCAGTGGGCAAAAGCCCCCTTGCTGCTGTCAGTCCTGTGTCCCTTTTTTGTTGGTTGTGATTGGGAGCAGTGTTTTCCTACATGAGAAACTATACTAGCCACTGCTCTGTGACCCTGTGCCTCTGCTTCAAAGTATATGTATATTTGGAGTCTATATCCTTGACATTCAAAGCAGTTGGCAGGAAACATAACAATGGTGGCCAATGCTGCCAGTCCTGAAGCGCAACTTCCCAGTTCCTGGAATACACAGTTACATGTCTCCAGCTGTTTCAGTTAATGTCAACATACATTGAGGCTTCCAGTCTACTAGAAAGGATTGATCGTACCCATGCCTAGGGTTTTGAAAGATCCATGTCTTGCCTTGCTTAAATTCGGCATATAAAGCCACATACTGAGCTGATGCATTGCTATTGCAGCTCCCTATATACAACAGGAAATGTGGCACAAAGAGTCCTGTAGTTGAATGTTCAGCAGGTTAGAGGGTGGGTGCCACCCACAGGACAGGCATCTTGCTGACGGGTTTCACCCAGATAGCACTCCGTCAGAGCACCCTATACATGTGCGGCAAAAAACTATCCAGCCAAAAAAATTTCATTAGTTTTAGATAGCGAGGGTAAGGATATGAGCCCCTGACAGATTTTTACTGCTATGTTAGAGGGATTTCCCCACACTTCCACAGTGACAACAGTTTTAGCATTGGGGACACAAACAGTAAAAAGAAATAAACAACTGACGGGTTTTAGCTTTCCCCAGTAAAAAATGCTGTTATTTTTGTGTTGTTTTTGCTGATTTTTAAACAAAACCCTACAGGGGTTCTCCTTCTTCCTCACTCTATCCAAAGCTAAAAATGATGATTGAACTAGTCAACAGCAAGCATGTGGCGAGTATATAGTTAAAGGCACTGAGATGGTTCATTGTAGCCGAAAATAAATCTGTTATGATCGAATCTAGCTATTCTGATCATAACAATTAAAGGATGATCCAGACAGATTTCTTTTTTCACTGTATACTAAAAAGACCAGGACTGGCAATCTGGCAACCCTGGAATCTGCAGGGAGGATTGGCAATAGTATCTGTGTTTTAGTGTGAGTTATAGTGGACATCTCAGCCATTGTTACTCATTTTTGCTCTAGTAGGAAAGCTATCTGCATCCGGTACCAAGCCTTTACTTGACCTTCAAACCTCATTGGGTCTAGCAAAGGTTGTCTGTATAAGCTCTCCTGATACTATCGGGCGTTCGGTCCATGACCGAGCGCCCGACTTTTCAGAGGGGGGTGACACCAAAATGACTGTAATTCATTTTGGTGTCATCCCTCCAATGGTGTCATCCGGGTGCGGGCCGCACCCCCCGCGTGAAGCCACTGTCTGTATATATGTGTTCCATACATACCGAGGTTGTTTGTTAGCCCCTGTCTAGCTGAGATATCTAAACTTTGGTGTTACCTTACTATGTGAACCGAACAGTATATGTGAAATAGGATAGGGAAGCAGACATAAATAAATTAGCCACTAATTCATTTTGTCTTGTCTAGAGTATTAATGAAACAAATTAGCAATCCTACCCCATCCATATAAATCCCAAACCCATCCCACCCATCCATATCAACATAGGGAATATAGCCTTTTCCCCTCACCAATGACAAACACTCTTCTCTGGGTTAAAGAGGCTTTTATTATAGTGGGTGAGAACCTAGCATGTTGTATTGATTGTATTGGTTCAATGTTACTTCAACTGGCCTTGCCTGTGTGGATGGGACCGTTTGGGAATTGGTATTACTTACCTTAAATAATTTAAATCAAATGATTAATTACAACAAAAAGAATTGTTGTGTTAGTCACATAGTAAAGTGACAATTTATAACCTTGGGACCTTGCACTGTATTCAGGCTAACCCAGTATTAAGATGTTTGGGATTTAGGATCTCTAATGATATCTCATTGGCAGGAGTTAAATTTCTTTCTGTCAATCCTTTTTAAAGCAGAACTATAGGAAGGTTTTTTTTGTATTGTACTTTACTGATATCTCTTTAAATTCTTCTTGTGTGTGTGTGTACAGCTCTGGGCATCCCATCAGGTCATATGGGGGGGGGGGAGGAGGGCAGGTAGCAGGTGCGCCTGCCTCCCCCTTTGCAGCCAGAGCTCCCCAGGTTAATAAAGAGCTCTTAGCAACCTATGACGCTCTGGCTGGCATGCCACTGGTTGCCACGAGCTGAGCAGGACATTCTGGCCAGCTACTGTCAACCAGTGTCATCAGCAGGCTGCGCGGGATGGTGGACGCCACCCCCCTATCCTGCACCGGCAGAAGCCCCCCTTCCCCCCCACCTTAGGTGGCGAATAGCCTAGGAGCACCCCTGGCTCAGCATACATTTCCGACATCTGCTCAGTGCCAGGATGAATGAGAGTTATGTCATTCCAGGGCAGCCAACCTAGATGGTCAAAAATGCCGAAGCTGGAAGAAACGGGATAGAAGATGTCACCAGGAATGGCGCTTGCAGACATCACATCACTGGAGTGGAGGTGAGTATAGTTCCACTTTAAGAAAAGAGCCCTTTGTATAAAGTGATCAGAAGCACTGGTATTTACTTTAAAGCAAACCTGTACTTTACCAGCTCAAGGCAAAGCGACAGGTTTGGTTTAGTCCAGTCCACCCCCCCCCCCTTTCCCCCCAAAAATTTACCTTCCCTATGCC